TGACAGGCTTTCGGTGTCAAATTATTTGGAACTCCAGCCAAAGGTGATGTTATGCTGTCTGGAAATATGGCCTTTTTGTAATGCCAAAATGATAAGTGATTGTTGTACATATGATGTTTTTGAAGGATAATATCAGCGTACTAATACTTTGCACGTGTTTCCCCCCACTCTTTCCATACCCGTAAAAGTTAACTTTCCATATATATGCCTGTAAGAAAATACTGTAAAGTAATGGGATTGCTGAATTTGGCCACCGGAGGTAGTGACCACAGCACTCTGGTTATACTGCATTGAGAGAGGACAGAGCTTGGCAAGATACCAATAAATATGCTTGTCATTTAAACCTTTATCTGATATTTGTGAAATGTGATTTTATAATTGAAGATGCTTCCTGCACCTGTAGCCCCAATATAGATGTTGTTAGTCTGTGAATCTTCCAAATTACTTCGTCTCTTTTTTTCAATTGAAATTAAGATCTTTGCCTTTTATCAAAATAATATATTTCCAGTCTTAATGTGCCTTTGTCGGGAATCAAACTCCGGTTTTTGACCTGACGGGCGAACGCTTTAGCCACGAGCGTACCCCATCATTCCTTGATACTGTTGGTACATTTATTATACATTCAAGATTGAACCCAGCTTTGTCACCATATATCCTTCAGTTTGTATGTTAGTGACATGATCTGCACACTGATAATTTAAAAAGTGGAATATAAATAATGATTGTTTGCGATCTTTATCCAATTTAGTTTTCCACTGATTCTGTTTCTCTTTCCACGAAATTCTGTACGAAGGTACTTTTAACAGTTTCACCCAATAACAGTAAAGCATACAGATAATACGTTTCGGTACTTTGATAGATTAATAAGTACATATTATATTCCATGATATTGAGATACCAAAATGATTAACATAATTATATAATGTATAACAAATTAGACAGCAAAAAGCAAAAGCAAAAAAGAAAACGCATGAGCAACATAATGCTGTCAGGTAGTAAGCTTTCAACAATTATCGAAACTGCTTAGTTATGAGCTAATTGCAATCACTACAATTTCCTATAGTCTACCCAAGAGGTGGAAACAAAATATGTCTACAGTATATTCCGTCGGGTAACTGAAATTTCAGAAAACGTCCGTATGGAATAATACCTGTATTCCGAATCAAAAAAGAGGTCATACCAAATATGTGCATGTTCACACATTTACAACATTAATTTACACCGGGAATCATTAATACATTGTAATCATCTTTTATGAAAGTATAGATAATGAAATTTGTTCAGTTATGATCAGTCGGATAACTCATACAAGTGAGCACTAAAATTAGGGACCTACCGGTTCATGTCTGTGTGAACACATTCGTCTGTGTTTTATTGTAATTAGCAGTGTCTCCTTGTATAGCATATATAAGAAGTGTACCTAAGGTCAGATATTTAAACTGTTATGTAAATACCATTACAAAATGTATAAATGATATTACCTATTGGTCAGAAAGACTTATCAGTACCCCAACACCGACCACTGCCACACCCCCTCCCTCGCACACACACACACTCCCTAACATACATATCGCTCTGGCCCATAGACCCGATATTTGAACCTTTTAAACAGACACCATGTGTATGTCAAGAAAGACACGCACGTTATTAGTGGTGCTCAGTCATGGGTATTACTTCACCATGTGTTTCTAATTATCTTACGAACCCTATGTGACAGTTACATTACAGCACCATTGAAATACATGTTAAAGTAGCGCTAATCTTGTAACACTATACTTACTCATTTCCAACCATTTACGCATGTACAAAATATATGACAAACCTAACCCTGGTCATACGAGATTTCAAGGGTATTGAAATGCATGTCCTACAATCACAGCATTTACATCTGTTACACATGTTAGGAAACATATGGAAACAAGATTTACACACCTGTGAAATACATGTAAATGCAGAGCCGACTGTTCGTTTATTTTAACACCCCTTTAAACGTGTGTAAATCTGACGGCCAGATGATACGTAGATTTCAAACGTTGTTCATATGGCCGCCGGATGAAACGAGTATTTGCTGACGTTAGTAAATTTGGGTAATACAGTCATTTTGTGTGGTGAGGGTTGCCTGTGTCTGTCTTGAAAAGAGATGCTGTCTGGCTTTTATCTGACTGACGTTCCAAGTCACACTAGTTCTGTCACATAAAAGAATGACAAACAGCTCAAGGAATTGCATTGCGTTGTCCAATACAATACAATAAAGGTATAGGCTGGGGGATCTGCTAGTGACAGGAATGCTTGGTGACTTAAGGATATACATTCCAAGTATCCCAAGCAGTTTTCTTCCCGATCCCGGTAAAAAAGATGAAGTTACATGGCAATTCTGGAGTGACATCTGGTGGCTCCGCTTGTATATGTTCAAGTTGTCCAAGAAGGTCTGTACGAGATCTAATTCTTCCCATCTTGGACAATAAAGGAGGCCATGGTTGATTTTCATGCTCTAAGAAAGTTCCCTTCTCTTGATAGGCATGATATGTACAACCTGGTAAACAGAGCACAGTCACCCTTAAGTGATGCACAATAAGATAGGAAGACGAGGAGTTTACATTTTCAGTGGCAGCTTGTTCTTTCTTATTGGTTGCTTTATAGGTTTTGATCTTTTAATGAACCTTTCTATTACAAAACTCTCATGTTGAATGGAATTCTTGAATCATTCTAGACATTTCTGGTCCTGCAACCACCCATCCTGATGGGTTTTCTGTCAGTCCAACTGCCCATCCATCTCCTTTCACAAGAGCATTGACATCTTCATGAGCCTGATCTAGTACCGTGGCAGGGAATGGTCGTTTATGTGTTGTATGTGCTACAAATCCACCAGAACAACATGTGTGGTACAGTGCTGAGTGTTCCACTGATAAGGAAGACATGTTTCTGGTGTGAACTGAAAGCTATCGTGCATAGATGATATAAGGAAACTGGCTTCACCATAATTATGATTCCAGAAAGTTCCACTGGATTGTTTTAGCATTTGCATACAGTGGTTGATCCATGGTAAGCACAGGTAGATGACCTGGGTGTAACTGCTCAACAGCTTTTTTTACCACGTTCATTGAATGTTGTATCATAGCTTGAGTGAGCACATTCTACAAACAGTGGCATAAGCGCAGTTGTTGTTGGAGGGTCTGTTAGTGCATTGAATGCTGCTCATAACAGAATCATTATTGCCTAGCTCTTGTTTTCCCAGAAGTCCCTCCATGTGTCTACTACTCAACTACTCACATTCATGATCAAGTATTGTGTTAACACCATGTACATCTTCAGTAAAAGGTCCTTTTAAAGGCGGCACATAATGATCCGTCTTGGTAAAACAAAATGGGGGTACATTGGTATAGACTACGGCAGCTTGGCAATGATCTTCCTATTTCTTCAATCAGTTGAACAACTGTTGTGTGCTGCATTAATGAAATATCCACTACAAGAATGCTCCCCAAAATGCATCGTCTGCTACAAGCAGCCATCTTAGATTGTTCAAGGGAGAAAATTCCAATACTACTTGCAAAAGTACTGATCTCATTTAAAAAGGCCATACACATATGTGTATTAACAGAATATATTTTTAAATTCATAGCTATAAAACAATAAACATTGTGGAACATAATATAATGGATCAATACTGTATTAATCATGTGTTAATTATTTTATAAATAACAAAAGTAATACTTTTAATGTACAAGGAAAATCATTTTGGTATTAATAGCTAGAACATTCAATAACACATAACAAAAAGGAATTTTTTAAATCCTATAAGAACTTGCCCATTCCTCATATGCTATAGTACACGAGTATGTCCTAAATGCTTATTCGAACCCACGTCCAAACGCTCAAACGATCGAGTCTCGTTAGTAATTGGTGGGGAGACACAGCATCTCGCAAACAGACCCCAGATTCGTGGCAGCTATTAAACTTGATTGTCAGGCCTGGTTCACAACAATGGTAACGATCAGTAGAAATCCGGGTTACAACTGGTCTTCAGCAACCCACCCTGACGTACGAGGAGACTAACGGGATCGGGCGGTCAGATTCACTGACTTGTTCGACACAAGTCATCGTATCCCAACGGTGTAGATCGATGTTCATGAAGTTCATCACTGGATTGTCTGGTCAGATCGCCGCCATATAGCTGGAATATTGCTGAATGCGGCGTTGAACAACCAACGAACCAACCAATATTGCTAACGGTTGTATTCTGTGTCGCTTCTGTGATTGGATGCCAGGTAAAGCTGGCACTCAGCTATGCAGCTGTAATACTACTTAACTAAATAATGTTGAACACTCAACCATTAACGTCTATTTTATGGATGTTAGATCGATTTCTCCCTCTTGTGTTTACTTATACATTTGATTTGCGTTGTCCTCACAAGCTCACTGACATTTAGTCATTTATTCCCCTATTTTCATAACCCGTATTTAATAAACTATAAAGCTATCAATGGATATCGTTTCCCACTGGATGATTGTTGATTGCTATTGACATAGTTATCAATTATCGATTTCCTTGATTGTTAAGTCACCATTTAACGTTGGTAGTATAGTTATTCGATTGTCTTGCTTTATTCAAATACTGCCGTGGCATGGCAGGAGTGCTGGTGTGTGGTTCCTGGCAAGTTGTGTCAGTGTCGAGAGCAGGACACGTTAACCAGTTTGGTTTTTGTGACATCATAAACACCTTGTGTCCCCATGAATGATCCAGTCATGTCATTTCCATTGCTGTTTTGCCGCCTATGCCCATGGGAATCTGTTTGGGCAGAAACCAATGGGGTAGAAATGTGGTTAAAACGTTCGCTCGTCACACTGAAGATCCTGGTTCGATTCCCCATATGGGGAAAAAACTGCATAAAACCATACTCACTCATTCACTCACTGTTGGGGGAGATAAATTTCGTTTAAAAATTAAATTTCGTTTAAAAATATATATGCGTTGTTCAATCAAATGTCGTGTATGTTGACAGTTCGATCATCACTGGTGCTAATGTGTGGCTACAACAACACCCGGAGCTCCTGTGCTGGAAGTGTGAGACAGTAGAGAGGAAGATTGACTCGGGGACGAAGGTCAACCTTGGGGTCATGACACACTACGAGTCAGCGGAAGGCTTCAACGCCCACGTGATGGGCCTGAGGTAACTGACCTTGAACTTGACAACCTCTTGTCTACCCTTGTAACGTCTACCCACGGTTAATCTGTTCTCGTGGCTCGAGTCTAAATTGCCTCAGCTTCTAAAGTAGAGAATAGAGAAGTGTTGTGGCTCTCACTTAGATTATCACTGAATATTTTTTTAAAAACCTATATTTCTGGGACTAAATGTCAGAGTAGACTAGCACATTGCTTGTTCTCATATATTTAGTACCTAATACTGGATCAAAATGTGGGACTGTCTGTCATTGTATTTGGTGTATGAGGTAAATATTGCACATTGTCTTGTTCAAAATTCAAACCCTTATACGGAGGACATTTTAATTTTCCAATCAGTTTCTAAAATGATACAGTTCCCTATTATAAAATGTACGTTACGTACCTGGTTTTTTTAAATGAACAATTACCCTCACATACATGTCACGAATACCTGGTATCATCACTATTTGATAGTGGACCAAAAACATATGCTTATGATAAAGCCAGAATTGTGAAAATGGACATTGCTTTTAGAAGAGATCCTCTATGGTTATTCATTGAAAGAGTGTTGTCTCTTTTATTTAATATTACTATTAAGTAGGCTGTTGTGATATATAATTGCGTCATTCATCCTTCAGGATCTGGTTCGTGAAGAAGATGGACGGGTCTCCTCCTCAGCAACTTGGCGTTGTTAATGTTGTGCCAGAAGGAGGTGTTACGGAGTGCGTTAGCAAAGTCAACACTTCCGTCAGGTCTCTTCCCGGTGAGCTACACGTCCAGCAGAATCCGGTCATGGGGATAGAGTAAAATAGGGATATGTAGAGTCGATATATAGCTAGCCACCAGAAACCTCTCGATACTGGAGTTCAAGGTATAAGTGAACATGATGTGGCGCGTTTAAGATTACTGCGCTAGCAGAACAACGTCAATGCACGTACATACGCGCGCGCGCGTGCGTGCGTGCGTGCGTGTGTGTGTGTGTGTGCGTGCATTAGTACTAATTTAAGCCACATGTCTTTCGATTATATAGTGCTTGCTTACAATAGCAAGCCGTACTTCAACTTGAATACCTCACTCAGACTCAGTATACTTAAAGAACCAGTAAACTTTGTTTTTTGTCGCGGCTAACTCGTCATGGTTGTATCCCTTCAATACCGACAGCCAGGTAACAACAAGAACCATATTTACCAAGTCTTTTGGTATGACCGCTGAGTACTGTTACCACAGCAGTGCATCTTTTAGCTCCCAAACGCGCCTGGGATACCCGTTTCAAAGACATAACCATCGAGTAACCATTTCTCGTTTTGAAGAAGAGACTTTTATGGATGTCAACTTCTTTATTATGACGAACTCAACGTTTCGGAGTGTATTCTTGCAATTTCATCGGGTGAATGATTCCGAATGTGTTCCTCACAATAAAGAAGTTGACATCCAGAAAACTCTCGTCCTCATGTGTATCACTTCTAATGATCTCATTTCTTATTTGATTAATTTCCACCATCAAACATTTGTGTCTAATTTCCTTCGCCATTTTAGTCCAAGGATGCTTCATAATATACGCTTGTTGGTCATTGAAAACCGGGTTCGATTCCCAACATGGATCCATTGTGTGAAGCCCATTTCAGGTGTCCCCTGACGTGATATTGCTGGATTATTGTTAAACGCGGCGTAAAACTAAACTCACAAACTAACTCATTTAATGTCCGGCTACTGTGACTGTATGTTTGTCAATGTTTCAGGTGCGATCCTGAACATCGAGACAGCGACCTTGAAGTACTCCATCGGCTACAGCAAGTTTGACCCGGAGTGTACCTGCTACTGTGAGAACGGAGCCGACGGACTGCGCGCCAGGAAAACCAAGCAGATCATGAGGGTGTTTTACCTATTAGGACACCCCATGAATGAAACAGTGTGTAAGTCCCCTTGTGTTGTTGTTTTCAACACATACCCGTGAAGATACTCCCTACAATTGGTCTTCAGTAAACTGCTCTATCCAAGTACCCCTTTTCTAAAGCCAAATGTTTCAAGACATGGTGTCACTGTGTTCTACTCTTACTTCTCCTCTTCCTCCTTCAGGTATGAAGGAAATTCAGCCGAGACAGGTGCGCTTCACTGGAACCAAATCATCCACCAAATTTGAACCCTTCTCTGCGATGGTTGAACAAGCTCGGATGTGGTTGCAAAGTCAATCCGTGAGTAGTCAACCAATGTCCTTTGTCGTAAAAACTGTAACATATTTCGGAAATCCGTCCTAAGCTGATAAAACTGAGTTCGAGAGGATTGTGTTGCGGTTCAGTACCGCAGTTATATCGAGATGATATGGCTTTTGGGGACTGTTCGCCTTCTCCTGTCTTCATTCGATTTGAAGCTACAGTTAACCATTTTACAATGAATGAATGTATTCATTAGATGCTGACGTTTCCTTCATTCTGCATATGAGTGACGACAGCATCGAAAAAAAATATATGTGTAAAAAGTTATAAATACATATTTGATTTAGCAAGATATTCTCTCTCTATTCCTCTCTTCCTCTCTCTCGCTCCATCTCTCCATTCTCTTTCGCTCTCTCTCTCCCTCTCTCTCCACACTCTGTTCTAACTTCAGTTCTTCTCACCCTTGCACTATATATTAATACAGTTTCTTTTGACAGGGTATCCGAGTTGTCAACATAGAGACACGTGACATTCAGTCGAGGGATCATCAAGGTTAGTGTACATAGGTTATATACATAGTTATACTGCACGTTGGTGAAAACAAGGATTTCTGTGTAACATGTTATCCAACATTCTTGTCTCTCAATTATTTAAAAAGAAGTGTTGATTTTCCTTATGCAATCGGAACACGATTATGTTAATTACTATGTCGTCATATCCCAATGGCGTAGATCGATGTTCAAGAAGTCGAACACTGGGTTGTCAGATCCAGACTCTATAATGTTCTATACAGTGTACTTGCTTCCATACACAAGGTGTATGCTCAAAGCGCTACCATTATTTCCCCGCTCAGTTGATCAGTGTGCATTATTTCTCAGCTCACTGGGGAGTATACAACCCAAGCTGCCTGTGAAGCGCCAGATCACCATCACCATTAACAGTCACCATATCACCCTACTAGGCATTGTGCTTGCGGCGTTACACTACAGTCAGCCATTGCTTAATAGTTGTAACGATGACGTAATTTCTGACTCGTCAAGGTCAAGGTCAAATCAATACGACAATACATACAACATCCACAGAAAAGCAAAGTAACATTACTTCTTCCACTTGCAGGGAAAATAGACATTTTCTCCGAAAAGACAGACGACTTCTTGTCAAACTCCGACTGTATATATGTCAGGGTCCTGCGCATCTTCTATGTCAACACACCGGAAGTGACGTCATATGCTGGTACCGTCTTATCAACGCGCCTCTTCGTTCCGCAGAGGGGCGGGGAAAAGGGTTTTGAAAACATGAATCAGACTATGGGAAGAATTGTAAGCTGGTTGGCCAGCAGTCGTAAGTTGATTAATTAGTTACATGATTCTGTCACTGTATGAAAAAGGTCCGTTCAATATTAGTTTGCTAATGAATCTTGATTTTTCTAAGACATTATTAAATTCCACAAGGTCTGTTTTAAGAACCACTAAACTTTGTTTTTTTGTTACTCTTTTAACCATTACATATGAAAGATTTGTGGTTAGTCTTATGCGGAACACCAAATTTATTCTTTAAAAACTTGTGGTTAATTAATACCGAGCGATTAAAAGTGGCCAAAAAAGTCGCCTGCTTCCCTCTCGCCCGCCAACGAAACCACAGACAGTTTACGTAACTCTGTCGCCAGAGCACTGCAGTGACGTCATATGAGGAACGATTTTCAGTTAGTTGTATAGAAAATGTGTAGCACGCTCATCATTTTGATGATTTCTCGACATCAACGACGACATGCCGAATCGTTGCTTTGTCGTCAATTGCTCCTAGGGGTCGGGCGATGGTGTCCCCATGCACAGATTTCCACAGGACCCCGCAGTTCGTGCTAAATGGGTTATGTTTGTGAGTGCGAAGCGAGCGTTGTGGAAGCCTGAAACGATATCTTACTTGTGTTCAGATCGCTTCACGGAAGTTAAAGAATCAAAACTACTTACTAGTTGTAGTAAAATATGCATATGATTGATGACCATAAAGATTTTCTATGACACAACTTGTAACATAACGATTTCTTCCTCGGAAGTGAGGTTGTGGTCGAAGTAACAATAATATTGTAAGTAGTATTATATTGACATCCACCTCGCTGCCACGAGAGAAATTGTAATGATATACGCTATGTCATGCAAAATCCTATTGGCCATCAATAAAATACATATTTTACTACCAGTAGAAAGTAGTTTTGATTTTGTAACTCGGTGAAAACAAACCTAAATACCATTTATCCTCAGACTGGCGGATGTTCCCGACAGGCGCCGCCATTTTAAAAATAAAAAATCTGTTAGAATTAATGAGATTATAGTTTGTTTTCATCAAGTTAGAAAATCAAGACTACTTTCTACTCGTTGTTAAATATGTATTGGAATCATAACCAAACGGATTTTGCATGACACAACTTATAACATAACGATTTCTTCCACGGAAGCGAGGTGGGGTCGAAGTCACAATACTGCGCGATAAATTTCTTGCTACATTCCCATGGTTAATGTCCACTCACCAGTATGTAGATACTAGTCAATGTGCGTCTTTATATTTGGTCTTATAATCCTAATTAGTTTATTATCACACTTGTATGCATTTTGAAACTAAATAAAAAGCAGACGATCTGCTGATACTTATAGTGAATTTATAACAGAACTGTAATATCTAGACATTTTATAGTTTGCCAATGTGAATCATAATTCGCACACACACCCTAGTGCATGTTGTCTGTCTCATTACACTTCACGGCGAAAACAATGATTCTGTTGAATGCTACGACAAAGAATAAAAACAAAATGCAAATATTAAAATTAAAACAGATTAAAGTTATAGGAACAATATCAAGCCATTACCTTGTTCGAGGAATGTATCCATCAATATCCACAAAACTGTTCCAAATGATGTGTCTTTTAACAGTTTAATATACGAAAAAGTGATAAATCTTTTCAGGTATTGGTGTATAGTCTCATTGGTCACCCAAGATAGCACACCGGTTTGACCTCATATCGCCTACACCACTATTTCGCCTACAGCTTATATAAACATCCTGTCAAATCCCATCTACCCTGTTCAGGGAATGGAATGGCCCTATTCCACTGTAGTTTCATCGAATGCAACTAAATGGGAGAGAAGACTATTGAGAAGTTACTATTGATACATGATTTGTTTTAAGTATACAGTGAAGGATATTAGTGAAGGGGGGTTATGCTTACCCCTGGGTGAGATAATCCCATTGTTTTGATTAGAATTAATACTTCAAAAGATTTATCTTATAAAAGTAAAAAAGATTATAATTAGGTCTGTTGTGGTTGCAATGAGGGGTCATCTCAACATAATTTTCTCAAAGTATATATACATGCCACTGATCTTTAGTCGGTATCAAAATGGCAAATCTCCAGAGAGCTGAGTTCGTGACTTCACAGAGAGGTGGACAGCAGTTACTGTATGCAGGCTACCGGTACAGGCTCAATGTCAAGCTTCCCAACAAGACCAAGCGGACGTATGTTAGGCTTTTCACTTTGCTGAAGGATATTGTTGTGAGACGACTTGGCATCGAACTTTCACCAGAAATATTCCAGATCGACTATGAAGCAGCAGTTATCAGTGCTATTAGTGAAGTCTTCCCCGACAGTTCCGTCCGAGGTTGCCTATTCCATTATTCTCAAGCTTTGTGGCGTCAAGTTTTGGAGAGGGGACTGTCTCGCGACTACATGAACAACCCAGCAGTCCAAGCCCACGTTCGACGAGCAGCTGCTTTGCCACTCCTTCCCCTGAACCAGGTCCAAGATGCTTGGTTTGAAGTCATCGAGCAGTCTCCCGACGGCGACAGAGTAGCAGCCTTCAACGACTACGTCACCAGCACCTGGGTTGAAGATGATGCCAAGTTCCCAGCACACATCTGGAACCAGCACGAAAACACAGGCCCGCGCTCAAACAACCATCTTGAGGGATTCCACTCTGGCTTGAAGAAACGCATACCCCGATCACACCCCAACATCTACCAATTCGTAAAGGAGCTCAAGAAGATCGAGAAGGCAGACAGGCGCACAAGACGACAGTTTGGACTTGGAGGAGCAAGGAGACCACGAGCACGTGTAGACCGTGATCGAGATCAGAGGATCGAGAGACTCAAGGTGCAGCTTTCCACCGGTGTGAAGTCTGTGATGCAGTTCCTTGATGCTGTTGGCCACATCCTCAAGCTAAACTGAGAACTCAATTCAATCAAACTCATAACTGTGTGTGCTCCTGATGACAATGAAGTGCTTTATTTATTTTAATTTAAAATCAAAGTTATTAATGTATTAAAGTAATGTGAATCACATACATTTGTTTGTTTTTCTTATCCCTTAGGCTGGTCCATTATTCCATGGGTAACATAGGCAGGAAATGGTGTGCAATGGTGCATAAAGTTGTTTTGATAAGACTGTAGGCGAAACGGTGATGTAGGCGATATGAGGACAGGCCAGCACACCTGGCAACTAATTGCATAATGTCCGCCTTTCTTTAAAAACAGTAATTTAGTTAGCCAATAATGGGCAATCAATCAATGTATTGGCGGTTAATCCTTTGAAAGAAGGACGTTGTTTTTACGCAGACACCGACACGACAGTGTGTATTCAGTATAGATTAGTAAATCTACATACATAAACACTACCTTTTGACAATTCCGCTGTGTAAGATAAAAATAATTAATCAATCAGCGTGTTATCGGTTAATCCTTTGATCGATGTTTATAATGTTGAATATTTACTCCAGACACAAGAAATGCCAAATGGGAACCTTTGTCGGGTAATCTTAGTGTGTTACCACTAATTATACCTGTTATAAATTCATTAACTGACCATCAAGTGAATGATGACAAATAACATGTGTAGGTTTATACCACCTAACACGGGTTACAACGAGGGAGTATTAATTGCTGTATTGCATGTGAAAACTTATGGGCCGACACTGTTTTGAGAATACAAACAGATTTTTACATGACATGATTAAATATCGAGGTAAAACAACACAGAAATGGGATCAATTTGGATCAGTCATTATACAAATAGGGCCTAACGACACCAATCGATTTTGACAGAATCGTCTATGAAAACAAGTTGTAACTCGGAAACTAGGCAAAGCAGGAGACAAAATTAAATGACAGTAGATTGTGAGAACATATAGCTTTCATTTTCCACAACAATTGTCACGATTTCAGGTTTATACAAGCCTGTAAACACGATAATTTACCCCCTAAAATGTAGATGAATTCTGCATCGGCTCTCAAAGCTATTCCTCATATGACGTCACAGAGGCGCGCCGCTCTGATTGGTTGAAATTTCGTTCGCGGGTGAGAATTGTGCACTGTTGTCAAAAAGGTCGATTTAAGTCAATTAAAGGTCGAAATGAGTAGTTTTAATGACGGGGTTTCATTTATAACGATGCCAGTTAGTGATTTATGTATTTGTACCCCCTAGGGTTTATGTGACCTTTAATAGTTTACCATCATGAACGTGGCGTATTTAAAATTTGTCATATTTTGAGGATAAATTGTTTGGTCGTTATTTTAATAATCTTCCATGCAAATGTGTTGTCATGGCGCCCCTGGCGTTCATACAGTGACGAGTATGTACGTGTGTGTATAGCTACTTGTACTGTCCGGGAGACCAGTGAAGATCCGGATTAGAATTGGTCTTCAGTAACCCCTGCTTGTCGTAAAAGGCGACTAATTAGCTCGCTCATTTGATTGACACATGCCATCGTTATCCCAATTGCGTAGATCGATGTGTATGCTGTGGATCACTGGATTGTCTGGTCCCGACTCGATTATTTACAGGCCGACGCCTTAGTGTGGAATTAAACAACCAACCAACCAATCAACCAACCAACCGAATCCTTCCTCGTGGGTTTCAACAAAGTGGTGACCTGCATTCTACAGGCTGAGACCAAACTTATTCACATGTATATGTTTGCACAACGAGTAAAGACCTTAGTCATTAACATCAAACAGACTGCTTAGACGGATGTGCATTAATTAACGACCGTCTGTTTCAGCGCTGCCAATATTCAGCGTCGAGACCGTGAGTTTCCCAGTAACGCAGGGCGGTGCGGGTTTAAACCAGGAGCGCGTAGACTACGGGCTGGTTGAAGGCGGGGGGAAACGTTGGCTGACGGCTATCAGGTGTGTATCGAGCAAAAGGTTAATCTCGAAATGCATATATTCCCGGTACAGAATATGAAGCGCACGTAAAATATTCATTTGCTAATCACCAGGATGAAAATTCGTTTATATACTAGTATAAGGCATCATTTTTTTATGTGTTTCACGTAGCCACCAAATTCTGAACATGGGTCGGTCGGTGAAAAACCAAAAAAACCTTCTCTCTCTCTCACTCACACACACACACACACACACACACACACACACACACACACACACACACACACACACACACACACACACACACACACACACACACACACACAAAAATTTGATTCTCATTTGTTGTACTTGTTATTACAATTTCTCGCGTTCTCTGGACTTCAAACTTGTGGCAGCGACTGAGAGGAAGGTAAACCTTTGTTTTAATGGGAAACTCTAAATATTTCAGATAACACCTATTGATCTATTAATAAATATTAAATAATGAAATCTTTGTAGATCAATCGATATTGAGAGAGATATATATATATCGAGATCGAGAGAGAGAGAGAGAGAGAGAGAGAGAGAGAGAGAGAGAGAGAGAGAGAGAGAGAGAGAGAGAGAGAGAGAGATTGTTACACTAAGGTGGCCACCGGTTAATTATACAAGTAGTACACTATGCATGCACTATGTATAGAGGGTGCCATGCATATTCTTCTTTACAATTGCAACTGATTAGTTCTTTTTTTCATGGCAAGAAATACAGACTTTGCTAGACAATTAATAAGATCTGGGTGTTTGGATGATAATAGCTGATAAAATGTAGGATATGTTTGATTTACAATATAATATTCAGGTAACAATTTTATCAAATCTCACTAAAAAAGGACATATTAAACAGAAATGGTACTCTGTTTCAATACAGGGAACAGTGCATAGATGACAAAATCGTTGATCTTTAGAAGTATGATGTTTTCTATTTTTCTCTACCATTAATCTGTGATTTGAACACCTACATTCAGTAAGGGCTGTTCTATATGAAGTAACATTCACAACTGAAAAATACTCTTCACAACATTATTCCTGCTTTATATCATACGTTTAGGAAACGAACATATTAATTCAAACATTGTCTATTGATCTATTGATACATACCTTTGTTTAAAATCAAATAAGAACTTATTAATACAACCTACATCCTGACTGTGCCACACATAACTAAAACCATATTTATTTTACAATTGTTTTACATTATGGGCTCAACATTGTCTACCAACTTCTGATATTTTATATTGATAACGGTATGTGTGGTATAATATTCCAGTATTCATTTGGTATAATAACCGTGTCCAATATTTTACAATTGTTATATATTGTCTAGTTTTGAAAGATAAACATCCATAAAATTCGGTGCATTTCTACCAAGAAAAAGAATTTGCTTCAAGAAATTATTGTATACTCTGTCTGTATCCAAGTGAGGGATGAAATCCCCATATTTCTGAGCCGCAAGCTAAAGTTGGGAATACTTTGTGGTCAAAGATGTTGAGAAGAACAGATAACGTTAATTTTCTGAAATTTGATAGCTGGGAACGTAAAATATTTAACACTTTCTGTGACAAAGTGCTTTGTGTTATATGCTATGACCCACTGCATGAGAAATGAACACTCAAATATGTGTAAGAAGACACAATTTCTAGTTGGGTATCATTAAAATCATGTTTTTCGTATTTCTTTAATCTACCACCTTTCCTGAAAACCATACATTTAATTTTACTAATATTGACGGTTAAAGATCACTTTTTACAATATATTGCAGGATTATTCAATCTTTTTTTAAACCTCGGACAGTGCTATCAAACAGTAACATATCGTCAGCGATAAGTAACATGAAAAGTCGACAGAGACCAAGGTCAATGCATGTATCTTCATCAAAACCAAGAAATACTGTAATATCATTAACATACAATGAAATTAGCGGTGGTGATAGTTGGCAACCCTGTTTTATTCCGCTCACACAGTCAAACAGTTGTGTGTAGCCACCTTGCAATGATATCCATGATTCAACATTTGTTTATATATTTTCAATCAATCTAAAAAAATTACCTTTGACATTGCCATTCCAAAGTTTATACATCAAACTTGTTCTATTGATGGAGTCCAATGTAGCTGTAAGATCAACGAAACAACAGTCTAGTCTGCCCTTATATAAAGACAAATATTAGAGACAAGTGTATCTATCACAAATATATTGTGCTTGAATGAGTTTATATAGTTCATCAATTTTAAAAGGTTATCAAATTAACATGACACTACTCCCACTTTAAAAGGGATATGAATGTGATTCTTCAAAACAGACCAGATGTTTGTTTTCGTGTTCGTCTGCTCTCTGTGTGTGTGTGTGTGTGTGTGTGTGTGTGTGTGTGTGTGTGTGTGTGTGTGTGTGTGTGTGTGTGTGTGTGTGTGTGTGTGTGTGTGTGTGTGTGTGTGTGTGTGTGTGTGTGTGTGTGTGTGTGTGTGTGTGTGTGTGTGTGTGTGACATTTTTATATGACGAGTCGGTACATTCTAGGTTCGAGTCGGCGGTGTTGGAATGAAAAAAAAGTTGGTTTTTTTTACTTTTGGTCGGCAATGAAATAAGGGTCGGTCGGGAGATGAGAAACACAAGAATATAAATTCTGCCCCTACCCATCAAAAGTTTAGACTCACTTACAGCACTCACTATATGTTATGTATATATATGTGGTTATATTGAAGATGAATCTTCCCACTAACTTAGGGGAACCAACTGCAAACCTTATGCAGATGAATTGCACGAGGATCATGCATCAAATTGCTGAAAACCATGTGCAAATATCGTGCTAGTGAACAGCTGCGGTTTGGTGTAAAGTTTTGTTAAGAATTCGCCAATTTTCACTGAGTTTCATCATTTATTGAACTCATGACAATCATCTTTTCAACATTATAAATTTGTTTTAAAATACATCAGTTCATGTGTAAACAGTACCTTTAAACAGTATGGAATATTTTGCAAAATCTAGTTTAGAATAGTTGACTGAAGTAAGTGGCTAACATTTACACTAGTGAATCTAAACTTTATATGGGAAGTATATGAGACAAGTTTATACATTGTGTAGATTTGTGACACTTACCCGTGTTAGGATCCGTTCCGTTGTTTATAATTTCGAACCCAGAATTCTCCAGAGTATGGCCCATGGTTGGTCAGGGGGGATCTAACTGATCTTCAATAACCCATGCTTGTTGTATTAGGCGACAAATGTGATCGGGTGGTCGGGCTCGCTGACTTGTTTGACACATGTCATCGTATCCTAATTGCGTAGATCGATGCTCGTACTGTCGATCACTGGATTACGTTGCCTAGACAGATTATTTACAACCCGCCACCATATAGCTGGAATATTGCTGAAAACAGCAAGAAAGCAAGCCTTTTCTCAGATTTAGTGGTCAATAGTAACTGAAGCGGTAGTAAAATGCTCATAAGTCTGTTTGTTTGGCTCATTCTGATGGTCTCCCTGTGCTCGGTCTGTTGTAGATTATATTTCCCTGTGCTGTTCCAAGAACAAGTCGTCGAACAGAAACAGTCCAGCACATGTACTGTGTTGTGAGTACGGGGACAGAGGGGCATGCTCAACACTCTTGCAGGGAATTTGTTGCCATGGTTTTCAATTCGTCTTCGATTATTGACCCATCGCTGCCTCAGATGTGGGAAGATGATCACTGAAGATGTCAAAGTTACTTCTAAGATATATTACGAATCAGTTTCCTGTATGTTCATTCTGCTTCTAATGCTACTATCGTAACATAACTTACACTCCAAATAGTACCACTTACAATGATATTGAAAATAATAATATTTTAGTCAAAGGGAATTATGGGAGGCCAATATGAGAAATTGTCATTCATTGTTCCCAGTACTTTAAAAACGGATGTTGGTTTCCAATACAGGCTGAATTATCCTTTTTAACAGAGGGTTTCACAAAATCCAGTGTACACAATGGATCTTCTGATTATTGTCGGTACCAGATACTTCCCCATTCATTCCCCATTATATGTAAACAGCTGTTGTTTATAGGAGCGCTGGCGGTAGAAACGGTCTGTTCAAGCCAAGCGCACCTAAAACAACGTCCACCCTATCCATCCTGACCCCCCGATTATTTAATGTATGCTCCTTAACACGTGGTCGTTGGCGTGAAGGGGCGGCAGTGTAGCCTAATGGCTAAAGCGTTTTCTCGTCACGCCGAAGACCTGGGTTCGAAGCCACAGTGTCCCCCCACCGTGATGTTGCTAGAATACTGCTAAAAGCGGCGTAACACTGAACCCACTCGTTGGCGTGAATCTTCCTTCCTTATGAAAATATTAAGTAGCTAATAGACTATTAATTAATTGATGGGAATGAAGTCGCTTTGATTCCGAAACAATTTTGAAAAAGGATTCTTTGTCACACGAGGATATTAATTTCCACAGCAGAAGGGAACATTAAGATAAGAGAACTTAATACCTCTTAATTTGCGGGTGGGAGATGAGAAAAAAAAAATGTTTCGTGTGCCCCTATGATGCGGTGTTATTCTACCTGTCATCAACCATGGCTGTGATCTGAGGGTCCCTTCTTCCCTCCCCCCCCGGTCATATTAAACTACACTCACACACTTATGCAAATACTGTTTTATCGTATGGACTGGGCGTTGGGCTTTAAGCCTAGACAGCTCATAACCCTTATTGTCGCCGTGCTTAGTGAGCCTGTTTTAGCCAATCACACAGGCGTGGCTTGTGACTTTGCGCATGTGTGCACGCATGCACATAGACACATCTTTGATGCAAGGTGCATTGTAATCGACACACCCTCGATGTCATACGTTATCACAAGCTGATATATTTGCCATTGTCCTGTCTGTTTTATGTTACTATATCTAACTAGAAGAGTTATGTCCCTTTGATTGCAATGGCGTCCACCTCGATGAAACCCTCCTCTCTGCCCTTGTGGCCACAAGTAAATGAATGCTGACCGTTATAGACATGTAGCGATATGTTACGCACCTTGGGGAGTGTGTATGATCTATATATCCAATATGTATATTTATCGTTTTAAACTGTGATATTATTTTGTGTGTGTATATACATATATTATAACTTGCTAAAATGAACTGGTTACTTAACTCGAGTGATATTCTTAGATGAGATAGTGTATGAGCCCCAGTTGTACTTTGAGAGATCATTGTTTTTCTGCACGTTTGAGCAGTGCATGATGCGATATACCATTTACACACCTGTTGAATCAAGATATTGTGCGGTGCAGCATCTGTCATTTTACTTATGTTTTAGTTCCGTGATTAGTACTGACACCAAGGAATATGCATCACAACCGTGACGCGTCTTGCCAAATATCCACCAGTACCTACTTCAAATGTCCGCGACAGGAAGAACACCTGCATACAATGCTGCCTTGAAATCCAGTCCAGTGTAATGTTTCGGACGAACACGAGCGCGGAATAATGACAAGTGTTAATTGTCCCGGAGTAATATGCCCGTGATGATTGTCCCAGAGTTTAGCCCCGTGATGGATGTCCCGGAGAAATGCCCCATGAAAGTTGTGGTGGAGTAATGCCCTGTGACCAAAGTCCTGGAGTAATGCCCCCTGATGGTTGTCCCGAAGTAATGCCCTGTGATGGTTGTCCTGGAGTAATGCCCCTGATGGTTGTCTCGAAGTAATGCCCCAGATGGTTGTCCCGAAGTAATGCCCTGTGAAAGTTGTCCTGGAGTAATGCCCTGTGAAAGTTGTCCTGTAGTAATGCCCCTGTTGGTTATCCCGAAGTAATGCCCTGTGAAAGTTGTCCTGGAGTAATGCCCTGTGAAAGTTGTCCTGTAGTAATGCCCCTGTTGGTTATCCCGAAGTAATGCCCTGTGAAAGTTGTCCTGGAGTAATGCCCTGTGAAAGTTGTCCTGTAGTAATGCCCCTGTTGGTTATCCCGAAGTAATGCCCCTGATGGTTGTCCCGAAGTAATGCCCCTGATGGTTGTCCCGAAATAATGCCCTGTGAAAGTTGTCCTGGAGTAATGCCCTGTGAAAGTTGTCCTGGAGTAATGCCCTGTGAAAGTTGTCCTGGATTAATGCCCCTAATGGTTGTCCCGAAGTAATGCCCCTGATGGTTGTCCCGAAGTAATGCCCTGAATGATTGTCCCGAAGTAGTGTTCCATGATGGTTGTCCCGAAGTAATGGCTGTCCTCAAGTCCCCAGCAGTAATGCCATGTGCAAATCTTCCCGAAGTAATGTCCGGTGTGTTTGTCCCGGAGCAGTGTGTCGAGGTAGAGTACATCCACCAACACATGGACGTTATCATTCCCGCTAGACCTCGCTCACTAATCAAGTAACTCGAGAAGTGGTTATGATTAGTGTAGATGTTTCTATGTCATCTGTTTTAGGAATATTATTCATGAATTAACCACGGACGCTAATAGCCGTATAGATGAAATGCATCTTGACGTGTGTACAATTTTATAGTACAAAACCAACTTCGCTACGTTTTTGTCAAAACTTACTGCAACGAAAATCAATAAAATGATTACTGTGTTACCCTACAGGACATGATATTTTTAGAATCTTATTTACTTTGTATTTTTATCATAAATGTTTCTACTTTGTTGAATAAATGTACATTACAATTAACTTTTTGACATACGTCAAGTGATATACTGCACATTGTGCCAAAGTGTTGGAGCTAAATCATATGGTAACGTCGCTGTAGGCGTCGCCAGATGCCTGAGGCATAGATCAGGAAGAAACATTGCTCTGTACTTTTGAAAATTTGAATAAACTGTTTATTGGTCAAGGCTAGGTTGTGTTCAATTGTTTACGGTCACGCAGCACTGATTACTCTAACTAGTCCGAAACAGAATGGCAGCATTCGCTCTGACGGACACAAGTTTTTTGAATAAACACGTGGCGAATTGACGGCAAGTTTTACCTGCGGCAGTTTGGATGCGGGCAGCATCACACCTCGTTCATGGTTCATGAACAAATGTTTGAGGGCTCAATAAATTTGGTTTTGCGTATTTCGAGATGGACGTCTTCCTTTTATACCAGTCTAAAATAGAAGCCAGCTATATCGCTCGTTTCTCCGAGACCAATCAAACCTCACGTTATCCAACACGGCTATATCGAAGCCCCGCTATATCGAACTGCTAGTGTGGGAGCCATGCCCGTGGTCGTGGGTGTCAGCAATGTGGTAAATGTCCCAGACGTGCATCAATGTCAGCAATCCATCCCACATTCAGCTGACACGCCGTGAAAGATCCAACTCCCTCACTCACTCCCTCACTCACTCACCGATTTCCTTAGGCATGTTTGATTCCAAGTCCGGTGGACCATAAATTGCATCGAGTTATCTGTTGTTCGAAGTATGAGAAATAGATTCATAATATGATCCAACTCACTCACTCACTCACTCACTCACTTAAACCTGTTCGTTGATTTTGATCGTTACTAGTGACATAAATCGCGTTGGTCACGTGAGTTGGAAAATAGTGGAAATAAAATAGCCGATACATTGTTAGATTCAAGCCTTGAGGAACCCGTAGAGATTTGGGGCCATGGGTACCTCATACTTGTCTCATTTGTCTCAAATTCCGACAAAAATAAGCATGGGTTCCAGTTGGACTGTATCGTATCGCCACCGCTCTGCACATAGTTCATGTTACGTGTGTCAACCACTGGTTTGTTTGTTTCAGGTTCGAACTGTGGGGTAAGGAGAAATGGTCGCACTCAATATTGTTACGGTTTTTTCGCGACGTAGTGTGGTGTCACTAAATCACTGACAGTAGCTTGTCAACGTGCATTGCTCACTGGCGTTTTACAACACTCACAGATGATCCGACATCCGCGAATGCCGAATGGAATAAAATACCATTAACAAAACACTGTCAACACAATCTTGATCATCAAAACTGATTACATACTTTTTGTTACATTTTTAATCAGCTATACATTTTAATGACATGCAAAATATCTTTTAACAAAAACATATATGGAGATCATGTGAATTCTGAATTCTGATCAAAAATATATTCTGCATATTTTCCTTCAGGGTATGAATGATTAGACATGAACGAAATGTGCACACCTGTCAACACGCGATGGTAACTAAGAATCGATGTGAAACATTTATGAAAATGGAAATTAGACTTTTTTATTTGCTTTCCATTTTCGATTCGTAGAATTTGCCATACACGTGAAATCACCTGAATTGCTATCTATTCTTGTTGACCATTAACTATTACCATATGTTCTTTGTTTCCTTTACCAGCATGTAAGCTGATATCAGCTCTCCAGTATGGTGTCGGAGTGGGGATGATTTACACACCACATTCGCATAATTATTACCACTGAAAAAGTTGCTTGAAGCAGAAAAGCCATAATGTATGTACTTATGTGCATATCACCTATCCGTTTATCCTATATATACTCTAAAATGAAACGTCAAAATCGCTTGTGTTATTATTATCCATTTGAAAGCCCGTTCATAGTTGAGGATTTAAACGTTGTGGATAAAATGAAACGAAGATTTACGGAATGCATCAATATAAATTATGACTGACAGATGTGTTTTGATGGATGCTGATGAAGACGATGTAATCAAGAAACCCATGTTAAACTTAATCAGTTCAGACTGAATTACCGTTTTTGTTGTTGTTTTTACGTTGTTGTTGTTGTTTTGTTTAACGCGACACAGCAAATTTCCAGCTTTTGATTGGTTTGGTTTTATTTAACGCAGCACTCGGCAGTATGTCTGTTAATAATCGAGTCTGGACCAGACAATCCAGTGATCAGCAACATGAGCATCGATCTACGCAATTTTGGTTACGATGACATGCGTCAATCAAGTCAGCGAGCCTTACCACCCAATCCCGTTAATCGCCTCTTACGACACG